TGGGTCGCGCTGACTTTCCGGGTCAGCCTCCCCGGGTCTGCGGGCCTCGCTGCCCCTCCCTCTGACTCTGACCGCCTCGCTGTCTGCAGCCTTTGCCCGTGTATCTGGGGAGGGGGTGTTCCTGCCTCTGTCCTTGTGAATCTCTGCGTATTTCCTCTCAGTTCCCACCATCTCGATGCCTCTTTATTTCTCTGCCTTTCCGTCTGCATCTCTGAGTCTTTGCCTGTCTCTTCCTGCCGGCCTCTCCCCATCTCTCCATATCCCTGTGTGGGTCTCTCGAATTCTCATTCGGCCTCCCTCTGTCTTTTTATCCCTCTTCGGGGGCTCCTCCACATCCCTGTCCGTCCCTGGGGCAGCCCAGGGCTGGGATTTGTTTTGCTTTCACACCCAGGTGGGGCGGGAGGGGTGGGGAGAGGAGGCAGATGTTGGAGGGTGAGGGTTGGGAAATCCCTTCCCTGTTCCTCTCCTCCCTCACCTAGGGCTTAGACTCTGCCTCGCTCGGCTTTGCCCTGCGGGGGGCTCCAGGGTAGATGCCTGGTTGTGTACCCAACTGCACTTCAAATGGTGGGGCCTCAGTTTCCCTTGAAATGGGGCCACTTTTCTCCCTGCTGTGGGCTCTGGCTACCTGTGCCACATGGGCCATGCAACCTAGACTAAGGTGGGGGTGGAGGGCTGCCCCTTCTTCCTTTTTCTGGGTAGGACGAGAGCAGCTAAGGCTGCCTTCAGCCCCCCCACCTCCCTCTGCATTGGTGTGTGGTAGTTAGCCCCCAGCATGCCCCTTCTAACTCTTCCCAGGGTGTCAATTTTAGCCTCAGAGCCGGCTGATTGCTCTGGGAATCTGAGTTATTATTCTTGTTGTACAGGTGAGAAAATTGAGGTTCAGAGAGGGGTGATGACTTGCCAAAAGTCACAGATGGAACTGGGTCACTTTGTCCTTGCTTCTCCTTATTATTAGGGATTTGACTTTAGCTTTGGGTGCTGCTTGGTCCAAGAGGAGACTTTTGTCCACCAGGAGGCTCTGGGGTGGCTGAACCTGGAGTGGCTGAGGCACCAGACAGGATTTCTGAGGTGGTGGTGGGTGCTGCCAGGACCCTCAGTCACCAAGAGCCTGCCAGAAGAAGCCTGCAGGGCCTAGAGGGAAGGTGCTCCTAGGTGGCCCCTTCCTGTGCTGGTGGCTAAGAGGGTGAGCCTCTGTGAGGTGAAAGAAGAATGATGGTGGGGGCAGGCACTGAGCCAAGGTGTCACTTCCTCAGCCAGTGAGTTGGGGTGTGAAGTGAGGACCTGCGACAGATGGTGGGGAGGTTTGAAGGCTTAGCTTCACCTGGCTGGCCTGGTTTGGGAAAAGGTGAGGGCTCCCCACTAAGACTGAGGTCCCATTCTGAGTGGGCTGCAATGGTGGGAAGGAGGTGGTTTTGGGCAAGGGGCTGGCGCACCAGAGAGGGTGGTAAGTGATCACTAGAGAATAGACCCCCAGCCTGGCTGGGTGTGGCTCAGCGGTTGAGCATCGACCTAGGATCCAGGAGATCTCAGTTCGATTCCCGGTCAGGGCACATGCCCGGGTTGCGTCCTCGATCCCCAGTCAGGGGCGTGCAGGAGGCAGCCAATCAATGATGACGCTCTCATCACTGATGTTTCTCTCTCTTTCTCCCCCTCCCTAAAAAAAAAAAAAAAAAAAAAAA